GAATCATGGAGAATTAAAGAGCTAGACAGGTTGAGTTCAGTTATATTTTACTTATAATCTGGGAAGAACTGCTGAAACAGGAATTTACCGGTAAGTTGTTGCATCCCATAGACGGATAGTATTATCCTCGGAAGTAGTGATTATGATGGGAAGCCGTGGATGAAGACAGCATGAAGTGATGTTGTGGGTATGACCTTCTAGTGTATGGACACAACTTTTTGTTTCATAGTCCCACACCTGATTGCATTATACAAGAAAGGCATGCAAAATATGAGCCACAAATTAACAGATACAATTCACGGCATGTTGGCAAAAAGAAACTGCTGGCTGGCTGGCTAACCTTGGCAGTAAAATCATCAGAACCAGTCAATAGATATAGTTTGTCACCACCCATGAAGAAATCGATACAATTAACGCTTTTGGAATGACCATTTAGTGTAGCAACAGGAGTAGGAGAATTAAGATTCCAAATCTGCAAGAATTATGAAATCAGAAGAACAACTTTTTGCACGGAAATCAGCTTGAAAAATCGAGGCCACAAATACCTTCACGGTGGTATCAAGTGATGCACTTGCAAAGATGTTGGAATCTTTTGGATTGAACATGACTTGCATTACATAATGTGAATGTCCTTCAAAGGTCTGAGCGCACTCCCATTCCTTCTCCCAATTCCACATCTTTATAAGCATGTCATCGGAAGACGAGAGCACACATGGCAGGGTAGGGTGGCCAAGCACACCCCTAATGTAATCGCTGTGGGCCTCAAACTCTTTGACCAACTCCGTTGTTTCATAATTGTATACGCGGATGAATCTGTCATCCGATCCAGTTACAATCCATTTCTTCCTTGCAATAAACTTCGCTGACCTTACTGCAAGGAAAAAAAAATCCATTCGAAGATGAATTTCAGAATGATCTGCCAGAAACTAGTAAAGCTTGTTCAAGGTATCAGAATGTGCTCACGACATCCTATTTAAGCATCACCAAGCTAATCTTAATCTTAACTTGTAGAAGTAATGTATTATATCAGAACAAGGTATTGATATTTACCTGGTGATTCTGTGACCTTAAAAGACTTCTCCATGGCCTAGAATCAATCATGCAAGTTCCAAGTTAATCAGTAATGTAGGGATTCAACGAACAAGAACAAGGAAACAGTCTTACAAAAGAGATACAAGAATAATACGTAGATAGGCCTAACCTGTGTCTGGTAGTTCCAAATACACACAGTTCCTGAATACAAGCTCGTTAGAATCCTGCGTAGAAAAATATATGTGGGTGTCAATCATATTTCGACTTAGCACACAAATACCAAGTTGCAAAGGGGATTCTGGTTACCATGGTCGTGTTGGATGTAGATCAAGAGATTTCACCCTTTCAGATAATTGTGAAAATTCTTGCTGTGCCAAGAAACATATTCAACAAATTAATGATAGGTTTCACACACAGGTAAAATCTTTGTGAAGCAAGTAATTACTCTCAAGTACCTCAATTGTGAATTTCAGAGCCTGTCCAATACCCGATGGGATGCATGCCAAGCCAGGAACAACACAATTAGTATAAAAAGAAAAGGTAGAAGAAGAGTGATGTGATTTAAACTCGTTTAAAATAAAATCTATATTATTTTCTGATAAAATACACACGTTGAAGGACCAACTACAACTCAACTCACCATTTCTTTCTTTCTTTCACAGTTGATATGGGCTAAAGACGGCAATGGCTTGAAGAGAAATCTGCTTGATAGGTGGAATGATAGAGAAGAGAGGGAAGCTGCTCCATATATGTACACCTGGGATCCTTCGCAGTTAAGGAAAATGCTTAAGCTTACCATTCAACACATAAGTTAAATTGGACGATGGGGCGATTCTTCTCGTGTTGTCATCTGCCATGCCCTTTGCCATTGATAATTTTCACGTAAAAGAGTTGACGGTTATGATTGAGTTTCAATGCCAACGTGATTTGTCAGCTTAATCAGACACGACGTGGAAAATTAGTGTTCCAGAAGGGGAGACGATTCAAGAAGACGACGACCTGGAAATTATCAAATTGGCTATAGAATAGGATATTTATTAGAGTAAATGCCCCCGCCTTTTGACTTCAAATGTTATGGACGGTTTGTCATGACTTGGCATCTAGATCAACGGTACTTTGTTACGGTCCGGATAATTTTTTTAATATAAAAAAAAAATCAATGTGTTTTTATCATAAAAATACTAATTGTAAATTAAAAAAACATGTATTTAATTAAATAGATTAAGAATTATTTGTGTTAATAAATATATAAAAAAATTATTAATAATACCTAAGGTTAAACTAGAAAAATCAAGGAGAAAGATATAAATTAATATATTTAATCTCATAATATAAATCATGTACTCAATTATGTTTAACAATTTTTTTATTAGAATAAAGTTTTTATTTAATCAAATAATAATAGAAATAGATACACATATAAATCAAAGAAAAATATATAATATACAAGATTATACATATTAAAAAAACATTGTTATCATTTTATGTGAAAACTGAGTAAAAATAAAATGATATTTAACTAAAAACTAAATAAAAAAAATTATGAGATACATATGGGCGTGGATATAATTTTATGGGTGTGGATATATGATTTTGAATACTTGTAGACTGATTGTATTTAATAACTTTTTAAAAAAAAATCAATGTGTTTTTATCATAAAAATACTAATTGTAAATTAAAAAAACATGTATTTAATTAAATAGATTAAGAATTATTTGTGTTAATAAATATATAAAAAAATTATTAATAATACCTAAGGTTAAACTAGAAAAATCAAGGAGAAAGATATAAATTAATATATTTAATCTCATAATATAAATCATGTACTCAATTATGTTTAACAATTTTTTTATTAGAATAAAGTTTTTATTTAATCAAATAATAATAGAAATAGATACACATATAAATCAAAGAAAAATATATAATATACAAGATTATACATATTAAAAAAACATTGTTATCATTTTATGTGAAAACTGAGTAAAAATAAAATGATATTTAACTAAAAACTAAATAAAAAAAATTATGAGATACATATGGGCGTGGATATAATTTTATGGGTTTGGATATATGATTTTGAATACTTGTATACTGTATACTGATTGTATTTAATAACTTTGTTTAAATTAATATTTTATTTAATAAAAAAAAGACACATAGAAAAGTCATTGAATTCAATTAAAGGGAAAAAAATAAATTGAACTACACAAAAGAATATAAATGTTGAAATCTTATTCATAAAGCAAAAATTAAATCATATTCTATTAAAAAAACATTATAAAGATTTGTTAATAAAAAAACAATCAATAAAAAGCCATCAATAAAGAATTAAATAAAAAGATAAAAAATTAATAAATAAAAGAGTTTAGACATGTTAACATAATCTAAATGAATCAACATGCTTAGATTTAAAAAAATTCAGACACATACGTCTTTCGATAGAAGCCCACATGTCCAGGTTGACACATTATTTTTTTACTAGAAAAACTTAATTTTTTATTTATTTTTTTATTTAAAATACTTAGAAAACATATTAATAAATCTATTTATGATCTTAAAAAATTTTAAAATAATTCAAAATTTTAAAATCAACCTGAATTAAAAATTTCTTAAGCTCATATCTATTATTTAAGGTGATAAAAATAATAAAAAAATACCTAGATAAAACTTTCTTCATTAAATAAAATTTATTAATATTAAAATTAATATTTTTATAGTCAAAATCATTGTGAAGCAAGATTCATTTTACTAAATTTAATCACTCTCGTATCTTAAATCAGATACTGAAAAAAAAGAGAGAGAGAGAGAGAGAGAGGGAAGATCTGCATCACAAAAGAATATTGAAAATATTAAGGGGCTGAAAAGTTACCATTTAAAGAATCATCCATGGAAATCTGGACGCGTAATAATATGTCTTGGATTCTTTTTCATGGCCTCGGCAGCAGATATTGATTTCTTACGAATCTCAGCAAACCCTCCACAGGATGCACCAGATCGAGGAGACTACGATTCCCGAAAAATGAACGCATTTTCATAGAACTGCAAGTGTTAGGTCTGGAACAGGAAAAACAGAGGAGATGGCATTAATTTTGATACCCAAGCTAGCTAGCTAGGTAGGTTGACTGTAGTGTACTTCCTAGCTCACAATTTATTTTTGGCTGGCGAGTAGCCTGAAGGATCTTAGGAGAGCATGGGCGTTTGCATCCTTTGATGTTGTTTGCGATTCGTCCTAGGTTTTCCAACAAGAAACTAGGTAAAGTTTATACGCTTTGTCTTCAATAATAGAAGCTTGAAGCAGCCCTTTTCTACTATCTTTTATTCGGTTCAGGATTCCTTTGCTAACATTTTTATCCTCTGAAAATGTTTGTTTGCCATTGTGTCTGTCCTGCCACTTACTCTCGGATATCCGAAGCTTTGTTTGATTGGGAATTTAAATATTTTTAACAGATTCGATCGCTTTCAGCATCGAGACCGCATCCGTAGTTCATGCACAGATAAATCATATGAACATTAGTGAAGAACTAGATTAAGGAAGAGAAAGAGAGAGAGGAGTTGAAAAATAATATTTAAGAATAAGAGATATTTTCGTCATTTTCTTATGAATCCAGATATAATTTTCTCCTTCAGAAAAACGGTAAGCATATTCGTAGCAGGCATGGCCTGATAAGCATATTCGATCCTCAGTTATAGTGTGACAGAGGACCACCCCTGCTCCCGTCTAGTAGACTCAATACAGATCAACTGCGGCTGCAACTTGCAGGAATTAAACAAGATAAAGATGTAACACGTTAAGCAATTACTCATCAATGCTGCTACTTGTATCATGGCAGAAACAACTTGTTTCATCTTCATATGAAAGAGCAGTCACAGAACACCCAGAGTCACCCCTAACGGCACCAGGTTGACGTTTATTATAATAGTTTACACGCTGGTTTTAATTCACACCGTTTTAGAGGAACCACCACAATAAGAAAAGACATAATTATAATCGCTAATCAGCACAGTACTGGCAAATTAAGGACAGATAGAAAACATTAGTAGCATCCTGCAGACATCGACAAGGAGCATAAAACTGTATGTATGAAGATGGAATAAACAAGGCAAGACACCCCTGGCAAAATGATGATACGAGCAACTCAAACAAACAGGTCAGTAATAAACCTGAAATCATCCAGTTTATACTCATACAAGTCGAAGGACATAAATCTATATCCTTCAAATCATATAATCAAATGCCTCTCACTCCATCAATGACAACACCCCCCTGATATTCTTTACTCAAATGCATCGTCGTCGTCATCTGGAAGAGGTTGACTAGCAGCAGCAGCAAGCTCAGCCTCGTGCCTGTTAAAATTACCAGCAACAAGAACAAAGATCAAAAACCAAACGGGTGGGTATGTATACAAATAAACATGGATGACTTGCTGTATCAAGTTTATAAAATAAAAAATCTAACCGGCCTCTTGTAATACTTGATAAACACAAACACATTGATTGTATAATATGTAGGTTCATTTTTATTAAACCTGAGAAATTCTTTTCCTTTGTGTTTTTGTATAAACAATGCACATAATAATGTACATGCAGATTTGTGAATATCTATGGAGTAAAAGAAAGTAACAGAATGGCAAAGGCGAGCTAATCTTAAATGACATTGTACACTTACTGTGCCTGTGCTGCAAGGTCAATAGGCACTTCTGGGGGAGCCAAGGCTGGAGTCTCAACAAAATGCAAGTTAGGATCCCTAGAGTCACAAAACAACCCCAAACATTATCACTTAACAAAAATTACAGAAGGTTAAACGCATTCAGATTGGCATGATGATGATCCTTTACCCAGCAAGTTTTCTGGCAAGGTACAAAAATGGCTTCTCAAAATTGTAATTGCTCTTAGCTGAAATCTCATAGTATTGCAAGTTCTTCTTCCTGTGAAAAGTAACCTGCTTTGCCTTCACCTGCCTGTTCTTTACATCCACCTTGTTTCCGCAGAGAACAATAGGAATGTTTTCGCAGACCCTGAAGAGCAGGCAACAGGAGATAATCAAAATACATTGAGTCAGCTTGGCAAAAAGAATTCAATTCAATAGACCAGAACAAAGAAATCAACACACCTGCAAAGATCCCTATGCCATGTAGGGACATTCTTATATGTCAATCGTGCAGTAACATCAAACATAATGATGGCACACTGTCCATGGATGCTGCATAGGAAACCAAAAACTGTCATTCAGTAAAATCACTTCATGCTGCTTTCGTACAAAGAAAACATCAGAGAAACAAGCAAATATAGGACAGGGCCAACAAAGATTGCTAAAATCCATAATTCCAGAAGTACACACACATGTAATTATCATCAGCACTTGAAAAAAGAACTGGAAAAGAAAGAAATCCAGCATCATGCTGGCATCCACCCCAACAATTGAGATGGTTGCTTACATATATTCATGCAATAAATCTCATGATGAAATGAAGCATACAGAACACCAGGTTCTAATTATGAGCGTGTGCAAAATCCTGTCAGTAACACCGAACACATCTATCATTAAGCCATTCAAGTGCTAGTGACCCGATAACTGAGAAAAAAAAATTGAAACGCCAGGAATGATCCAAAACAACATGCATACAATTAGTATGAAAATCATCCTTAAAACAAACATCAGACACAAAAACTTACTAATATCCATCTCTGAGACCACCAAACTTCTCTTGGCCAGCTGTATCCCAGCAATAGAATCTAATTTTTCCACAGTTGGTGAAGAAATCCAAAGGAGGAACTTCCACACCAATAGTTGCTGCATCCATTACAAACACAAGAGTCAATCAATCACATACAACATCAGGAACTAAAACATAAGATCATTCAGCAACAACAAACAAAATATATTCTAGCTTACGCTCATATTTCTTCTCAAACTCTCCGGTAAGATGCCTCTTAACGAATGTGGTTTTCCCTACAATTCACAACCACCCAGAAGCTAAAAATCAACACCCATGTTTTACATCAAAAAAAATCAAAACCCCAAATTCCAAACATCACTAAAAATCAATATTTCAAATAGGATCAAAACTCCAAATGCCAAAGGAAAAAACTGAAGATCAACACAAAACCAAAAAACAACACGGATTTAACCCAACAGAGCCTCAGCAATAAAAATATTTACACATACCTGTACCACCATCACCGACAATTACAAGCTTGAAGCTTGGATAATCAACAGTTTGCTGATTTGGCAAAGCCTAAAATTAACAAAAATCCAGTACAAAATCAACACGAAAACAAGAGGTTGCAATGTAGATCTAATTAAAAATAACCTTAAAGACTTACCATTTTGTTTAATTTTTCCAAACAGCGAAGCTTTTTTATTGAGGCGTCGAGAAGGAGAGGGATTCGCAATACTGTTTTTCGAAGGGTTTTATAGAGAGGTTTTATGGAGATCTTGTGCGATGAGCTGCAGGGTTTGGCAGATCTGTGACGTTGATGGTTGTAGACCTGGTTACGTGGAGGGTGGATATTTTCATGATGTTTGACGTGTGTGTAGAGGATAGAAGCTAGGAGGGTTACAAATTTCAAACTTGTTCAGGTGGCTTAAATCTAACGCACGAATCTAGGCCGTCAGATTTAGGGGAGATCACCTCATCGTGTGTGCTGTATTGGATTTTGGTTAGTGTGTCCAGATTGGGCTTTCAATTCCTTGGGCCGATTTGTGAGTACATGTAAAAGGCCTAGAAATAGGAAGGAAAAATCACGTACTAACCTGGCTAGGTTTTGCCATGCCAAACCCGATTAGGTCATGACTAATCCTATCTGGGTCAAGTCTATGACCCGGGGTCAAACATAAGTCATGTTTGTGGAAAAACCTTTTTTTAACAAAACCATGTCATTTTGGACTTTCTTTTTTCCCAGAGACAAAAAGAAGTTAAAAGATCCTAATCTTATGCCATATGGATCCCCGTGTCATTGTTTTAGTAATGTAATATATGATATTTTAAAAAAATATTTTATAATTAAAAAATATTAAAATAATTTTTTTATTTTTTATTTTTAATATCAATATATCAAAATTATTAAAAAATACTTAAAAAATTAATTTAATATATTTAAAAAACAATTTAAAAAACATAAAACTTATCGATATATATAGTATATGATGCTTTTTAAAAGTATTTTAATATTAAAAATATATTAAAATATTATTTTTAATAATAGCATATTAAAATTATATAAAAAAATCATAATAATATCAATTTAATTTTTTAAAATAAAAATGAATTTAAAAACAACTTTAAAAAGTAAAAGTTACAAGAAAGAAAAAAAAAAGAAAAAGAAAAAAAAGAAAGACAAATTTCACACAAACAAACACTCCCTTAAACAACCATGGAGCCCACAGCTCAAAAAAACATTGGACCGTTCCTTATGGGTTGAGCCTGCAATCAAACTCTATTTGACCGCGTTGATGTGAAGCGGAACCAAACTCGAGGTTCAGCGTTTCGCGTCAGATTTAAGCCAAGTATAAAATCCCTACTACTCACACCACCTACGCCCTCAATCTTACCGTCCAACACACAGGTCAGCAACCACAAACGTCCCAGATCTTCCCAATCTTTACATCTTGGGTCTCTCACGCTCCTTAAACCTCCTCTTTATAAACCCCTCCATCCTCATAAGCCCTCAAAAATTCAAATCCCAAGCAGTAGAAGCTCTCTCTATCAATTCGAAGTTGAATTTAAATCTTAAAATCAAATGGTATGCAACCTCTTCTTCATGTATTGATTTCTTCCGTTTGATCTTTATGCTGTCATAATCTCAAGACTTAATCTTTATTATCCTTTTGATGATTTTCGGTTGTTTAGGCTTTGCCGAATCAGCAAACTGTTGATTATCCAAGCTTCAAGCTTGTTATTGTTGGTGATGGTGGCACAGGTATGTGCATCTGTTTTGGTTAAATCTGTCGTGAGTTTTTATGATTTTTAATTTTTTTGAAGTTTTTTTTTTTATCTGGGTTCTGGGTTCTGTGTTTTCTGTTTATTTTTAGTGTTGTTTGGGCTTGGGTTTTGATATTTTTGATATACAAAAAACATGGGTTTTGTTTTTCAGCTTCTGGGTATTCTTTTAAATGCATAGAAGATAAGATTTATCTGTATAAGAAGACTTGGGGTTTTGATTTTAAAAAAATTGGGTTTGGATTTTGGCATTTGGGTATTCGAAAAATATAGGAAAAACCATGTTTATTTTGACAGAGTTTTGGATTTGAGGTGTTGATTTTATTTTTATTTTTTTAATTAAAATCAGTGTTATTGATTTTTGGCTTCTGGTTGTTTGCACAATGCAGGGAAAACAACATTTGTGAAAAGGCATCTTACCGGCGAGTTCGAGAAGAAATATGAGCGCAAGTCTTGTATTTTTTTAATTAGTTTGTTTTGTGATGTGGAAGTTACTGATTTGTTTGTGTATTTTTGGTGAATGCAGCAACTATTGGTGTGGAAGTTCATCCTTTGGATTTCTTCACTAACTGTGGAAAAATTAGATTCTATTGCTGGGATACAGCTGGTCAAGAGAAGTTTGGTGGTCTCAGAGATGGATATTAGTAAGTATTTGTGGCTGCTGTTTGATTTAAGGATGATTTTTAAAATAAATTTTATGTTGTTTTAGATGATGCCTTGCATTCATAATTTTTTTGGCGTAGTTATAGATTCATCAGCACTTTAATGGTTTGATTATAGAACTTATGTTTAGTGTTTTACCAATAGAATATTGTCTGTTGTCAAATAATTAGAACCTGGTGTCTTGTACTTCATTTTATTAGGAGATTTATTTCATGAGTCTATCCGAGCAACTGGGGATAACATTTCAATTACTGGGGTGGGATATGGATTTTAGCCGGTCTAAGTTGGCCTTGTTTTATGTTTTGATCTTCTAATGTTTATCTGTACAAAAGCAATTTGAAATGGTTTGGTGAATGACAATTTTTTGTTTCTTATGCAGCATCCATGGACAGTGTGCGATCATCATGTTTGATGTTACTGCTCGTTTGACATATAAGAATGTCCCTACATGGCATCGGGATCTTTGCCGGTGTGTGTAATCCCTTGTTATGACATATTTGGCTTACTCATTTGTTTTTGAGACTGATTGAATCTTTTCAGGGTTTGTGAGAACATTCCTATTGTTCTTTGTGGAAACAAGGTCGATGTAAAGAACAGGCAGGTGAAGGCAAAGCAGGTCACTTTCCACCGTAAGAAGAACTTGCAGTACTATGAAATTTCAGCAAAGAGCAATTACAACTTTGAGAAGCCCTTCCTGTACCTTGCCAGAAAGCTTGCTGGGTAAAAGGATCGCAGAATTCAAATGCCTGATTTCTCCTGACCATACCTATCAGAATAAAATACCTATCTGAATTGATTTTATGACTGCAGGGATCCCAATTTGCATTTTGTCGAGTCTCCTGCCCTGGCTCCCCCAGAAGTTACAATCGATCTTGCAGCACAGGCAAAGTAAGTATTGTGTTATTTAAGAATTAGCTTTCCCTCTCCTATCGATTCCTCTTTCTGGTGACTTGCTTATGAAAGAAACTCAAGATTATTTCAGAGCCTTTTTTTTATGTGTCGGTTGTCTACTGTATATGGGTGTAAATATTTGGCTTTTTAAAAAAAAAATATGTGTCGGTTGTCGAAAGTAGTTATCTTTAACCATCCCGCTGCTGGTAATTTTGACAGGCACGAGGCTGAGCTCGCTGCTGCAGTTAGTCAACCTCTTCCAGATGATGATGATGATGTATTCGATTAAAGTGTTGATGGAGGTCGTGGGTTTTGTGGCTGCTGGTGGATTGAGAGGCTTTAATAGTATAGATGGCCTTGGGGATGTGGATTTATGTCCTTTGACATGAACGAGTGTAAACTGAATGGTTCTAGGTTTATTATTGACCTGTTTGTTATCCGTTGTATGTTTCAACATTTGGAGGGTATTGCCAAGCTTTGGTTATTCTTCCCTCATACCTACAGTTTTGTGTCAATTTCTGTAGGATTTTAGTAGTGTTGGTTTATATCTTAATGGACCGGTGTTGTGTTGATCCCATTTATGGCTTTTTCAATTATTTGCATGCTGGGTGATTGCTTCATGGTGCCCTTGATTCATCTGATTATCGACTGGATATGCTGCTAAAGTAATCCAGACGTTTGCATGTTCAAGGACTTGACAGCTGATCA